GGTTCTCAGGAAGGAGTGCAACACCTTTGATACTAGCCATGAATGAATGAGTCAGTGAAGCCAAAAGTGTCTTACAGCAATATAACTGATATTAAACCAATGCCCCTAGCATAGCTTTTGGGCCATATTTGGCTGACAGAGTAAGAGATGCAGGTGATGCAGACAACAGTATGTGCAATTCGAGGTGTTAGTCACTGTCTGCCAAACAGTAAATCACTTAGGACCCAACAACACATCTTTATGCCATGTCCATAGTAATTGCATGTATAGATTAAACACCTGTATCGTCTTATAATGCCTTCCCTTTGAAACCTCATTTAAGTTTTCACAATTAGTACAAAAGGATGCATTTTGACTTACTACAGCTTTGCAATTTCCTGAACTACAGTGTTCACAAACACTACAGTAGTTAGAAAAAATCCTGAGATCCTAAAACCAGTTGAGCTGCAATGTTCAAAGGGTTTACTACAGAGCAGTCTGCCTAAAATCACAATTACATTTGAACTTAAGGATGTTTTGGAAACATTGTGAGAAATCAATACAATACAAACATTGTGAGACTTGGCAGTTGGCACAGGTTTTATGGAATGGAGGTTAACGTTTTAAGATAATTGGAATCCTGAACTATGAAAAGAAAGCAGAATTTAGGTAGATCAGGAAACAAAAACTCTTATACTCCATTTACACTAATATGTTCTTGTTGATTTCCTGGAGACTGAACGGTGTTCCCTAGTCACGCTGGCCATGTGGCAACGGAAACTGTCTTCGGACAAGCGCTGGCTCTACGGCTTGAAAACGGGATGAGCACCGCCCCTAGAGTCGGACATGACTGGACTAAAAAAATGTCAAGGGGAACCTTACTTTCCTTACACAAGTGCTCAACTAACTTTAAAATTATGTTAAATCATGATTATGATTATGATCATCATCATCTTAGAACTGAAAGGGACTCTGTGGATCATCAAGTCCAGTTTGTCAAGGAGGCACAGTGGGGATTAAAACTCAACCTGACTGCACAGTCAGATACCTAAACCAAATGTTGAGTTTGAATTTGAAGTCTCCTAAGTCAACTTAGGGACGTGGTGGTGCTGCGGGCTGAACCGCAGAAGCCTGTGCTGCAGGGTCAGAAGACTAGCAGTCGTAAGATCGAATCTACGCAATGGAGTGAGCTCCCGTCGCTTGTCCCAGCTCCCGCCAACCTAGCGGTTCGAAAGCATGCAAATGCAAGTAGATAAATAAGGACCACCTCGGTAGGAAGGTAACAGCGTTCCGTGTCTAAGTCGCACTGGCCATGTGACCACGGAAGATTGTCTTCGGACAAACGCTGGCTCTGTGGCTTGGAAACGGGGATGAGCACCGCCCCCTAGAGTCGAACACGACTGGACAAAAATTGTCAAGGGGAACCTTTACCTTTACCTTTTAAGTCAACTTAATGATATATAATTATTGTATCCAAATGTAATCCATACTATGAGTGTATCTATTTTAAGATTTTAAAAATTGCCTAAAATTGAATCTCAGACCTAAACCCCACAGCGGTTCTCAATAAGGATGTTTAAGTGCAGATTCTATTTCAGAATTTTATTTTCTTAAGGTTGTCTTCAAATATAGCAGTTTCCATGAGCCAAATGACACTTACAGTGTACAGGTATAAGTAAGTAGAAAGTGTGCTAAGTGTCCCAGAAGAAAAGATGTTCGCATAACTGTTTCTGGAGATAATCTTGGTATGCCCTGAATTGGATTCCATCAACAAGCCTACAAATCCCAAATGTGTATGTTGCAAACGCTGGAAGTGCCATGAGGAATCACGTCATAATTCATTCTTTCACACAAACTAAGGAATGGCACAATTTTTTCCTTTCTGGTGACAAATTAAGATTTTTAAAAACTTGATATTGGACAGAATTTTTGCACTTTTGAGGGGGGGGGTTTGGTGCAGTTCATAAATCTTAGCATGGCAGCCACTGCCTAGTTCATAAATTTTGTAGAAGAATTAGATAGCTTATTTGCAACTTTCCTGGCCTTTTGTGTTTTTTATATATTATCTTGCATCTGCACAGGTATGTGCACATATTGCGTGTGCTTAACCAGGCAGGGAACTGTTGCTAGAGATATTTTGCGCAAATTGTGCAAATCATAGTATTTTGGACACTTGGTAGTCTTGCTCTTATTCTGGAGGCAAGATTTCTTATGGCAGTTGGAGAAGTTTTGATAGAATGTCTAGAACGTGAGATTTCTTCACATTCCAGTTTCCGGTTCCTGTAATTGGCTCCATCGAGACCAGTGTTACCCAACTTTGGGTGCCTAGATGTTTTTGGACTAAAACTCCCAGAAGCTTTCATCACAAGTAGTGCTGACTATTATTTCTGGGACTTGTAGTCCAAGAATATCTGGGGATTCAGAGTTGGGAATAGTTGATCTAGAGTCTAGATTCTAGACAATGTCTGTTTTACTAAAGGGGCAGCTAATGATCCCTCTTGGTAGCAAAAATGTGTGCCATGTTTATTATTTTAGTAAAATGAATATGGAAATTTGACTTGGCTACGCTCTGAGAGCTCAGCTTTTTTAGCTAAGCAATGGAGTGTTGCTGTCAGCAGATCTTTAGCAATAGAAGTGACTTTATTAAAAGGATCTTGTATCTACCTTTTGTGTAGAAGTTCATTAAAAGTTGTGTGTCAAATACTACCCAAGTGTTTTGTGGGAAATGGTATCAGAATAAGAAATTTAAGTTACATTGATGCTCAATTTTAATAAACTTAGTTTTGGTTTCGTTTCTATTGATTTCGCAGGAATTTTCTGTCTTCCACCCTCTCCTAACCCTCACCCAATTTCAGTACAGCATATACAGTGGTGCCTCGACTTACAGACGTCCCTACTTACGAAAATTTTGAGTTACGGAAAGATCCAGCCGCAAAATTTTGGTTCGACTTGCGGCTGGAGCTTCCACTTACAAAAGGAAGAAGGCAGGGAGAAAGGGTGGGGAATTTAAATTTACTAACTGTTGGTGGTGAAGAGGATGCTTCTTTGTAGCTCTTTCGCCCCAGCAGTTAGGGAAAGGGATGTGATGGGGGTGACTCAGAGCCAGGAGGCTTGAGCCTCCTGGGTGGTCTGGCGGCCGCAGCGGGGGCCGCAGAGGCAGCGGTCACCCAGCACTGGGAGGCTTGACGACCGCTTGCCTCCCGGTTCGCCTCCTGCTCACTCCTTGCCATCCACCGCCATTTGAATTTCCCAGAGGGTGGTGCGGAGCAAACAGGGGGCGAGCCGGGAGGCAAGCAGTGGAGGTAAGGTGCTGCTTTTAACTTTTTAGTGTTTTGGGAGGCTTTTGCAGGGTGAGATTGGGCTGGTGGACTTATGCTTAGGTTTATTTTAGATTTATTTTATTTTTTTGCGGGCCCAGGGGCTTGCAGTGTTTTATTTTTATGGGGGGGGTATTTTTTCCTTCAGCCAGAACGGATTAACCCGTTTTCAATGCATTTCTATGGGAAATGGTGCTTCGACTTACGGAAATTTCGACATACGCTCGCTGTTCCAATAAGGATTAATTCCGTAAGTCGAGGGACCACTGTATCTGAAACCAGGGAGTATTAAACGGCATATTTAGTAGTGGCTGTATTCTGTAGTCACAGTATTCCTTAGCTGGTCCATGCTGCTAGTAAGTGCTGGGAACCCATTGGGAAATAATAAATAACTCTAATGAAGTGGAGCTGCCCATCATAAATATTGTATGGTAATAAAGTATTTAAGAAGATACCGGTAGTTCCCACTGGAGTGAAGGTATCTCTCGTGTTACTTCCTATTGCAATGTAGGTTAGTTGGAATACAGCATGCACACATGTGCCCATACAAACATAAATACATGTATGTAAAATTATACCTTATTGAAAAATTATTCATATATATGACATTTATTCTAACATTTTAAAAAAATGTTTGGCCTAGGGGAGAGGAGAAATAAGTATGTACTGAAGTGAGTGTACAGCCAATGAATTTTTTATCCCAGTGAAGGCAAGTGTATTTGCTATTTAATTTATTTGATTTATTTAAAATATTTAAAATATTTTTATCCCATCTTTCACCTTAAAAAAGACCGAAGGTGGCTTACATAATTAGAAAGATAATATTCAAAAGCTAAAAATAGGAAGTATACAAATATGAAAAAATAATTATTCAAGTTCTATGTTAAAAGCAGTAAATAAAATCTATACTGAAGAGATGTAGCTTGTTTTGTTGTCTAAACCCAGTGAAATAGTGGGTAACCTCAGCTGCGACTTAGAGGGAAAAGACAACTTTAATGCTTTAATGCTTATGAAACTGGCTCATTTTCATGAACCATAGTTAAGTGTAACCCATTTTTTGGGTTTGGAAAATATATTTAACAGTAGTTGACCTCTGTGCACCGGGATGGGATACTTTAGTCCTAGAGTCATGTTTTCTTGCTGAATTCATTCAGAAACAGAACTGTGTTAATGCAGTGTAATGTGTGGGGACAAAAAAAAAAGGCCCATGCTGCTTTTTGTTGAACCATAATGCAAGGAAGCAGAAGTGCCATATTCTGCATCTCAGTAGCTTGCCTGAGGGTGCTGGATTGGAATTCTTGGCAGATTCAGGAAATACAAGAAGTATAAAAACCCTTAATCCTACCAACAATATTATCCTATCACTAATCTTCAATACTTTGGAATTCTGTTGGGAGTCAGAAAATATGCCAGAATTCATTTAATGCAGCTTTTGTGTTCTGTTATATGATGATTAATCTCAAATGGAAGGAGAAGCTTCCATTCTCTCCAGAGCCTTGGACAGAATGGAGCACATGGAAACCTGTGGGGAACTCAGTGCTTGTGGTAATATTGCACCATGGTTTAGTGTTGACACCCAAACACAACCCATATTTTTTCTGCTAATGTTATTTGGTTTTCATCAGACTGAAGTCTAACTTTTGCTCAGATGGAATATTTTCTTGGATATTTCCAGAAAATGAGACAAAATGTGTTTTCTTTCAGATCTCTATAAAAATGGACTCCAGAGAGCTAACTTCGTACCATTCATTGCTGTATTGAAGGTAAGGGAAGTCATGCTTCAGAGAGAGAGAGAGAGAGTGAGAGAGAGAGAGAGAGAGAGAGAGAGAGAGCAAAGCATTTTACTATTTTTTAGGCGTTAATTGCAGGGCGAGAGCAGGAATTGACATTTCTGAATTCAGGAAATGTTCTTTCTCTGTTAGAGTTCAGAACAATGGAATAAAAAAGAAAGGTTACCAAAATGAGATTCCCCCAAAGAAATCCAGAAGAGCAGTGCACCCAATTACATGTTTATGTCATTTCTTTTTTAGAAATACAAACAACTGTGAGATTTCCTCCACATGATTATAGGATTGTCAATGCCAAAAATCAAAGCCAGTTAAAAACAACAACTGAATATTGTCTCATTGATTTTCCCTAATATCTAGGTTTCCTGATATTTAGGTACAATAAAGAAGAAAAACTATTTGTATTAGGATTCTTACCTTATATGGAGAAGAACTGACTGTTGGATGGTTTAGTTATAGGTTAACAAGGCATGTTATGATAAATCTGTTAGTCTTAAAAATACTACACAACTCTTTGTTGCATTTCAAAATAGTCTAAGTAACCTTTCATAGGTAGAAGGAAATCAAGAGCAAATACATTCACCATGCAAGTTCTAAATCTGTGAAGACTTCTTAAATAATTAATTTCTAATCTCAAAATATTTAAACAGTCTTTTATGGAAATCAGTAGGGACAAGCATACATTACCAGATGATTTTAGTGAAAGGTAAACATACTTAGCATTGTATGAGTTAGCATTTTAGTTCGATTTCCTTCTCCCGTGTGTGGGGTCCAAGTAACCTGCCCTGATCCTTTGGAATGTTTTCAATTAATTTCATGCTTGTTCACAGACACAATAACCTAATTTCACGTGAACAAGTATGTCTCCTAGTGAGTCTCTCTTCACAGCACTCGTTAATATTTATGTAGTAATAGTTTTGTGCATTTCCTTTGGAGTAGGCATAATTAAATTTGGTGGAGCTTACTTAAAATTAGTAATGTATAAGATTGGTCTGTGGGTTATTTATAATTGTTCTGTTAGCTTTTGTGATATTAAATGTTCATTATTTGTAGCCACAATTTATTATTAGGAATATTTAAGTGCTGCCTGCTATTACATCGAATTGAGGGCACACAGCCTCCTGCAGCCTATTCAAATTTAGAGCAAATGGGAGAGATGTGATTTTTCTTTTTCTTTTGCTCGGAATAGGATGTATAAAATGCTTTGATTATGTGTTTTGCTTTTGTGAAGCCACCTGTCTTAGGAGCTCACAGATTTGTCTGTTGATATTTTTTTTAAAAAAAAAAAAGTCATCTTGGTGATTAAATTGAGTTGTCAGTTAGTTCCATTATAATGCTGTGATAGCCTAGTAGCTTTCAAAACACTGAATAGTTGAAATTTGCTTTTGTAGTCAGTGTCAGCACCCTGACCTCTGCTGAGCTGTCACCTGAGTTAGAATTGTTGGGATTAAGTCTTTGATATTGTGATGTCTTCACTTATCAATTGACTTTTTCATTACTGAAGAAGTTAGACCTTTTGTTTCCATTCTTAGTAAGTACCCAAGCAAGTCTTAAATAGAAGAGTCTTTTATTTCCCACCAAGCTGTGGAAGTTGTAATTTCTCTCTCTCTCTCTCTCTCTCTCTCAGTTCTGTACTAATTAAATAAATTAGTTTTGATATTTGCAGTACTGTTCAGCTATGAGTCACTGTGAATTAGAAAAAGGGAGGAGTATATGTCCAACTATGTGCTATTCTTAAGCAATGTTCGAATTGGAAAGTATTTAAAGTTTGACCCACAAAACTGCAATTCCTGTGTGTTATGAAAAACTTCCTGTGGCATGGTAAATTTATTGAATATTTGTGTACCTTTTGGAACAACTAAAATTAAATGTTCAAAAATCAACCAGGACTTTCACCAATACTTTGTTTAAATATAGAATTCTCCCTAGCAGCATTCCCTCATAGATAGATAGATATTTATGTTGATGTTTTAAAAATGTAGTTAACTCTTCAACATTCTCTTCCATCTCAGTACTGTAATAGTGTTTTTTTTCCCTTCTCTGTTTCAGTAAATTAACTGTTTGGCTCAAATAAGTGACTCAGATTCTATTATCAGTATATAATATTGTAGTTTTCATGTAATGGGATTCATTCATTTAAGTGACCCGTAGCAGTTTTCCTAGCTTTTGACAGAATGTGAAGTAAGGTCTTTTCCTAACTTCTTCTGTCTCTCAATCCCAAAGTCCAAGCCAATTAATAAAGCTTATAAGTGCTTTGTCACAGGCCACCATGAAGGTCTGCAGAGAAGAACTTTAATCCAATAAACATTTCATTTAGATCATGAAAAGAAAGCATGAGGAGAAGCTCCTGCAGGAGAGGGTGTTACCAGCAGTTCTCTCCATGTGAAGATCTCAGGAATTTAACAAATTAAGCAAAAGGCCTTCATATTTAACACATAAAACGTGTCAAAAATTATAATGGGTATAGTTTAATTTGGGTTGAACCATACATTGTGAATATTCTAAAAAGCCAGAACTGTTTTCTTCAAAGACTTACTGTTGAGCTGGATGGACAGGGCAAGAGAAGGTTGTGAGAAACCCAAATAGCAAATAACGCTGGCCGAAAGTTGAGGTGGGGGGAGGAATAGATAATTAGATGTAATTAGCGTGTATGAATTGTTGTCTCCCTGCCCTTGGCATGAATAAATTTGGAAGAAAAAACCCAAGGGGCGAAAACACTTTGATGTGAGAGGAGTCATTGTGGCTTGGCAGCATAAAGGCAGTGTTTTATACTTCTTACATAATGGTTGTGATACAGAAAGCCTGAATGGATTCTGCACCCCCCAGCCTGCTTTACAGCAAGGACTTTTGGATTCTCTTGAAACAAAATGCAGTAGTAGTTTTCAGTTGTTGGTAATGAGGTAGCAGACCTCATCAGAATTAGGCAAAAGCCATCCATAGCCTTTCCTTAGATCTTAATCACATGGTGATGGTGGTGATAGTGGTGGTGATTGCATATACTAATAGCCAGCTCTTCTATCAACACTGCTTTTTATTTTCTTCCCCTTTGGAAATCTGGCATAAGAAAAAGCTAATGTTTAGGACATATCTTAAAAGGGAAACCTTAAGCCTTGTGCAACTGCATTCAAAAAAATTGCATTTACATTATACCTTTGACCTGTTGTCAGAACAACTGCCACTTTTAGTCTAAAGCAGAATGTGGTCAGTTTTTTTCTGTTTTGCAGAACAGTATATTTGTCTGAATATACTAAAAAGATAGTATAATATGTGTGCTAATCTTTAAACTATACTTTTGGAGATTAAATACATGTTGGTTTAAATGTAACTTCCACATGGGAAGAGAAAAATATTATTTTAAGAAATATTGGAAAAGAGAGCCACAGTCTACTCTTGCTTTTAGTTTTTAATCTTTAATCAAAATATTTACTGGTTTTCTCAATCAAAAGTCATAGTACTTGGTATTGAAGTCTATGGCTATAACTATAGGTTGAGTAGCAACAGCTATGAAATATTCTGTGAGAGTTAAAGAATCAAAATATCCCTTAAAAACAAAACTAGCTGAGAAATTAAACTAAATGTCAATTCTGAATTCTGAACTAAATTCCAGCTGAGATTGTGGACAATGACAGAATTAGAAGAAAAGACCGTTATTTAGTACATATCTGTGGGGCTTTAACTAACATGAAGAATAAATATTTCATACAGTTTGAGAGCCATTAAAAATGTACTGAAGAAAGCAAACTTGATTAATTCAAAAGGGGCATTATTCTTCAATTTGCAATTGCTACCAGTTATCCAATTTAATAGTTACTGTGCACATTTTATGTATTTACTTTAACTATGAGGTCTGATGGGGTGTTGAAATGTGTCTGTCTTTTTAGATTTATTGATTTATTTATTCAAAATAAATTTAAATTTCCATGTTTGAAAGTGTAAACTTTTTTTTTAAATGTACAAGCGTGTCACTCAGTTTGTCAGTATCAGTCTGCCATGCTATAGAGCTTTGCAGCTACTAGGACGTGCCTGGGAAAAGGAGACATGTTTCATTTAACCCTTTGAGGATTTATTATGCAGAACAAGTAGCCTTTTGTACTTCAAGTTGTACATGCTGAAAAAAGCAACACCTGAATATCTCAGGCGCTGGAATAATTATGCCCAATTGTGTTTTGCTGGTGTAGGTCACAGGAAATTCACTTAGGGTAGAGTCTCTACAAAGCTAAGATATATGCAGATTTTCTGTTGTTAGACTGTGTAAAAATTATTTACTGTTAATACTTGCATAAAGGTTAGAAAGGTTGATGAAGTGATATTTAGTATTGCTTTACTATTCACTACGTGTCAGGATGTAATTATGACTGATTCATGGAACTGTCTTAGGAACGAACCATCTTTATTAAAATGCTGATCAAGATAAGAGCTGACAGTAATAAAGAATAGAACATTTTAGTCTTGTTGCTTTTCAATGATTGCTAATTACCCCAGAGGTCATGTATAGTGCTTGGGAGGATTCATTGACATTATTTTCTTTTAAGTCTGCTGTTTGAACAACATCTGAACATGAAGACAAAGACTAAGTGCATACTGAACAATAGTTTGACCAAGTTTTTTTTAATCCTACAAATGCTAGATAATTCCTCTTTTTTCTGTCTAGTTACATGAATTCTTTTTCACATGGGAAGTTGAGGATCTTTGTTTTAAGGAGCCCACATCCTAATCATATCCATCACTGTCCTCGAAGGTCACACTCGAAAAGAGGAAACAATCTAATGTAGTGTTAACTTCCTATTCTTTGTCATATTGAGAGTGTAAACTAAGGTAGAGGCAATTGGAAGCCCAGTCCCCTTCTAATAACATAAATCAGAATTTTCCATTTCTTTAACTTGTAAGTTCCATTTAATCTACAAAAAGATGCTCATACTTTGCTTTGCACAATATATGTCATCTGTGGGACTTCCATGTGGCTGGAGATTATGTGC